TTTTTTTGCTTTCTGCATGGTTATATGCTGCAAAATAAATTGAAACTCAAAAGATTCAATTTTTTTTACTTGCATTCTACCACCAGACCACGCGGCTTTTAGTGAAACTCCAAAGATTCTCACCTCAACCAACTGGGGACAAAACTCATTTTCATTACAATCCACAGTTATCAAATACAAGATCATAGGAGAAACTGATTAAATAAAGTTTACCATTTCAAGTTCCTGAGCCATCAAAATACAGGGTCCACACCATGTTGCATAGAAATCAATAATTATGGGAACACTTCTCTTTCCCCTTACTAGCTCCTCAACTTCCCGAGCTGACATCTTTTTCTGCCCATCCAAAATGACAAATCAACTCATCAAATTCAAAAGTCCAAGGAAAAAAAATTGCCATATGAACAAAACAAAAAGCATCCCCTCCCCCATTAATAATTTATATCCTCAATTCCAAGCAAAACAGCTCTTCTATTTCCCTACCCCATTAAAACTCTTCAAATTCCTTTCTTTTCTCAAATTTTCAGCAACCCAATAAGAGCAATTAGGTAAACAAAATAAACCACAAAGCCAAAATAGTGACAAATTTTAATTTAAAAATGTATTTTTCTCCTGTTTGTCTTGGAAGAAAACTAATGGGAGACAAAAACACAAAAGAAAATAGAATAAAGCTAAAAGTATCTAGAATTCCAACTCAGCAATCTTCTATTTCACTTCCCTAATCTTTCCAATAATGAACAATCTAAAAAGATTAAAAATTCACAAAAACACTTCATTTTATCTTCATTTTTCCAATTTGACAGCAACCCAAGAGGGAGAATGGAAAAACAAAACAAACCCAGGAAGCAAAAAGAAAAAAAATTACCACAAGATAATATTCTCTGACATATTTGCCGAGTGAGGGTTGCAAAGCAGCTTTCTTGGTTGTGTTGAAAGTGTGAAAGATCTGATCTTTGTGGTAGAAAAGAATAGTGAGTTTTGAAAATGGATTTTCGATGAAGAAAAGATGGGTGGAAATGAAGGAACTGGGTGAGAAAGTGTGTGGGCTTGGAGGATAGCCAATTTTGAGAAGAGGAGAGAGGCTGAAGGTTTTGCTGTTGGGGGTGTAGTAGAGAAATTTGTGGATATTTTAGCGGATGTGTTTGGGTGCTTGGATCTACTCATCCATTTGTTGGTAGCTACGATTTCCTTGTGCTTGGGTTTGGATGAGACTTTATTTTTTTTTTTTATAATAGCAGATAAAATGATTTGAATTTAATTTTGAGTAGAAAAACTACGTAAGTTTTGTATACGAAGAATTTTTTTTTTTTGTTTGAGTGTCTAGATAGGAAATTTGTATCATATTTTATTTGAAATTGTTTTTAATAGTTAATAATTTTAATTAGGGAAGCATTTTTTAGATGAAAGAAAGAGAGATATTCAAAGATTTATCTAAAGTAAATAAAATATAAAGTTTTCATACTAATATGATATTTATTGTCATAATGATTTAAGAGTCGTTAAATGAATTTAAAAATAAAAAAAATCATCATTAATATTTTTTGAGTAGATATAATTAATCACTTATTAAAATATATATTTTTAATAAAATCTTAAAATTATTTAAAATTTTATTAAAATATAATTTTTGGGTTAATGAAAGTAGTTTAGATTTTTGAAAGTCGTTACGATAGGAATAATTTAGAAGTAGTTAAAGTGAATTTAAAAACCAAAAAAAGTTTATCATTAATATTTTATTTGAGTATGTTATTGATTGAATCCTTATTAAAATATATATTTTTAATAAAATATCAAAATTATTTAAAATTATTGAAAATATAATTTTTTGGTCTACAAAAATAGTTTAGAATCGGGAGTTAATTATGGCATCAGGAATAATTAACACCCTTCACAATGTCTGTTAAAAAATGATACCAAATTAATTATTTGTTACCCTTTAATTTTAACCAAAAAGATATTAATTTGTTATTTATAGTTAATTTTTGGTAAAACGATATTTTTTATTTTCGTTGTTTATTTGAAAAATAAATAGGAATATTACCTATTGAAAAATAACTAAAATTATTTTAATACTTTAATAATATTAAGAACAGTTTTCTCACTCAAATTTTTTTTTAAGAATTACTATTTGAATTTTTCTAAAATCTCATATTCGATAGTTCATATTTATTTTTAATATCATATTTACCAAGCATATAGTAAAATATGATGTCTATAATTTAATTCAACTAAAATTTTTTAAAAATTAATTTTTTATTTTAATTATTAAAAAAAATGAAAAATCTTTATTACAAATTATTTTCAATGTTTTAATATATTGATAATATTTTAAATAAAATTTTTTATCTAAATATTCTTAAAAAATCATTACTCATACTTTTTTAAGATTTCATTCTTAGAGATTTAATTTATTCTTTTAATATGATTATGATGCTATTATATTGCATAAAAATTTATTTTTAAAAATAAAAAAGTGAACGAGAGTTTTTCGTATCGAAGGGCAGTGCAGTGGTGGTGGTGGGTCAGCATCATGGACCTGTTACCCACTCTCTCCTGGTATCCCATCCCATCACCCAAATTTCTACTACCTTATTCTCTGCCGTTCGCTAGCCAAAGTGCTTTAGCCTTTAGTCACTAGGGAAATTTGACCT